AATATTAGCAAAGGGGTGTACCCAGTGAAAGGTTTTAATGAAACATACTGATTTCAGTTGGAGAGAGTGAAGCACACAAGTTTCTTACCCTACTGAAATTGTTGCTATGAGCTGCCCTCCAAAATATCCTGTCCTTGACAGTTCTGCTCAGCTCTTATAAACTGAAATAGTTAGAATTAAATTTGGTGTCATCCTACCTGATACTGATTATTTAGCATATTTCTAAAGAAACCATTGTTGCTGGGATGTGGACTTCTAAGATAAAGGTAATTATATACAAACAGCTAAAGCGGCTTTTCCTAACCAGCTTCCCTCCAAATGTTTTAGACTAGAGATCCCAGCATTCCCAACAACCTTTGGCTATGCTAGCTGGATTTGATGGAAGAAGTCTAAAACATCTGGGGAATGATAGGTTGTAGAAAGTGGAACTAAGGTAATAGAAGTTCTTACATGAGACAGCTAAAACTAGAATACCTTACTTGTATGAAGGTACTTACAATATAATTTAAGAGGATGCAAATAGGGTTTCCTCCTGCTCACTGAAGTATGTGGTTGTCATCTTTGACCTGTGCCAACCCTATGAATGAAAGTCCTCCAAAATGTTTTGTTCCTGACAGCTGCATTTCTTTCTTCCAAATTCAAGGCTGTTGCTTCCTTTATAGATTTAATCTATCTCATATTTGGTCTTCCCTTTAGTCTTCTGTCTTTAATTTTCCCTAACACAGTTCTCTTCTCAGAGTGTCTTGCCTTCTCATGGTGTTTCTGAATTATAACTTCCCTGTTTTGTCTTTTTTGCTTGTAGGGAAAGTTCTAGCTTGTTTGTCTTTTTGTCAGTCCAGGGTATTAACAAATTTCTCCTCTAGCACTGTAGTGTGAATGCATCAATTTTCTTCCTGTCAGCTTTCAAACCCATACATTGTAATAGGAAATGCGGCTTGCATCATTCTCTTTCTTCTCTCAAACTTATCCCCACAACAACAACCCTGGGAGTAAGTTGGGCTGAGAGTCTTTGAAGGGCCAAATTCGCCCAGTTGGCTCCATGTCTGAGTGGGGGCTAGAACTCAGATTCTCTGAGTCCCATTCCCATGCTCTTAACCACTACACCACACTGGATTATTTTGACCTTGGTCTCCAGTAAAATGTCCTTATGCTTGATTATCTCTTCTAGTTCCTTCATTGCTGCTCTTCCAGGATTCAGTCATCTTCAAATTTCTTGGCTGCACTGTCCCTTTGAATTGATGAGTGAGCCAAGGTCTTTAACAATTTCACTTTCTTCACTGTTGACAGTAAAGTTCAGCAATTCTTCTGTAGTCATGATTTCTGATTTTTAAATATTCAGTTGCAGTCCTGCTTTTGCACTTTCTTCTTTTACTTTCATTAGGAGTTGTTTCAAGTCATTGCTGCATCCTGCCAGTAGTATGGTATCACCTGCATATATTAAATTAGTGGTGTTTCTTCTGCCAATGTTCATTCCTTCCTCTGATACTAATCCAGCTTTCCTTATGTTCCGCATACCGATTGAACAGATAGGGAGATAAGTACATCCTTTTCTGTCACCAGTGCCTATGGGAAGCCATTTTGTTCTTATTCTGTCCTAACTTCTTGTCTGTGATACAGGTTACACATCAGAACAACCAAGTGTAGAGGTAGATCCATTTCTTTCAGGACCATCCATAGCTTCTTCTGATCCATACAGTCAAAGGCTTTACTGTAGTCTGTTAAGCATAGACTTAATTATTTCTGAAATTCTTTGGTAGACTGCAGCAGCCAGCATATATTTGCAATATGATCTCTAGTGCCTCTTTCTTTTTGGAATCCAGCTTCAACATTAGACATTTCTTGCTCCATATAGGGTAGTATTCTTTGTTGCAACATGTTGAGTATCACTTTGCTTGCATGGGAGATTAATGCAATGGTTCTATGGTTACTGCACTCTTGCATCTCTTTTCTTGGGAGCTGGAATATATACTGAATGTCTTCAGTCTGTGGGGCATTGTTTTGTTTTCCACATTGGTTGCCATCTTTTTGTTAAGATTTGGACTGATTTTCCACAGCTTGGAATAGTTCTGTTGGTATCCTATCAACTCCAGATGCCTTATTCTTCACAAGTGCTTTCAGTTTACTTTCTCATACTGCAGGGTCTTTTTTATAGGATTCAACTTCAAAGAAGTCTGTCATCTTTTAATCTCTTCCTGTATAGTTCTTCTGTGTATTCTTTTTACTTTCTGTTTATTTTCTTCAGGTCAAATAGTATGTTGTATGTCTTTTCGAATTCTTAATCTAGGTTTGATTTTCCCTTGGATTTCTTAGATCTTCTAGAAGAGGTCTCTTGTTTTCCCCCTTTGTTGCTCTCTTCTATTTATTTGCACTGATCCTTGTAATAGTTCTTATTGTCTCTAATGACAGTCTCTGAAAATTCAGGATTGTTACCTTATTTCTGTCACCTTTTGCTTTTGCTTCTCACCTGCCCTTGGCAACTGTGAGTGATATTTCTGTCTACTGTAGGGTATTTCTTTCTTCTTGCTACAGGAATTGTCTTTTGGCATTCATTCCTAATAATGTCTCTTGTTTCAGTCCACAGTTCTTCTGGCTCATGGTCAGTTAAGTTGAGCAATGCAGATCTGTTCTTTATGTGAATTTTAAATTCTTCAAGGTTGTTAGTTAAGTTACATTTTAGCACTATGTTTCTACTGGCAATCTTTTTAGCTTGATTCTGATTTTTGAAATTAACAAGTGATGGTCATTATCACAGTCTGCCCTTTGTATTGTTTTGGACGGAAGAATTCAGCTTTTCCACCTTCTGCTTCCAAATTACATATTCGATTTGATTTCCATCCAGTTGACCATCTGATGAAGTCCATGTATACAGTTCTCTGAGTTGTTGTTTGAAGTATGTGTTTGCAATGAACACATATCAAGTGCTGCAATGTTCATTCTTTCCATTTCTTGCTTTACAATTTCCACTTTGCCTTGACTCATGCATCTCATACTTTATGTCCTGACTGTATGTGTTGTGCAGTATTGGACTTTCACCATTGTGCATGTCACCCACTAGACTTCCTTCCAGGTTTGATCTAGACAGTGCTACCTGCTTTTGTCTTTTGCCCTTCCCCAGTAGCTTGTAAAGTGCCTCATTTTCTTGCATTATTTCTTGTTTCATGTTGAATTGTTTCATCATAGGGTTTTCAAGGTAAGAAAATGGATTACCACATTCTCCTCCTGTGTAGTACTAACCAGAGTTACTAACCAGAGTCACTGCCATTGTCTATGTTGCCCTCAACTATAACTTCTGCCCAGTAGCTCTCTTTCAGAAGTTTCTCCAACCCCATCACCATTAATGAGATCCATTTACTTTTGTTGATGAGACCATTCCAGTTGAAGGGAGTGGGTGCATGTTAGTCTGATGTCTTAGCCCGGACCATTCCACCTTGGGTGATACTGCTAGGAGACCAGCCTTGTGAGACTATTTTAGCCTCCTGATGGCTTTGCTCTCAGTTTTGTTGACACTCAACCCTCCTCACCTTGTTAAGGTATGCGTCACTTTTTTTTTTTTTTTGGCAGCCACATCCCCTTGTTGACTCATGTTCATTTTTTGCCTTACCACATTTCCAAGATCATTTTCACATGTACTCTTTCTAAGTCAGGTATTCTCCATCCTGTAATTGCCCATCTAAATTCCCTTGCTAAATGCAGAACATTTCTCACTGTTGAATTTCATCCCAGCTCCTTTCATAGTTGATTCCTGCCTTTTAAGGTGTTACCTATCTCACCTGACTTTCTGTCCTCTGCAGATTTGGTTAGGATTCCTTTTCATCTAAGACACTGATAGATTGTTTTGAAAGTGCTAAGTACAAGATAGAGGCTGTGGCACCCAGCTCCAGACCTCTCTTCAGTTTGACAAAGAATCTGTTGATGAACACTCCTTGAGCACAGTTTTTCCAGCAATGGTGAATATATCTGATGGTACTAAGATCTAGCTGATATAAACCAAGCTATTTTGTCAAATGGTGCATTGAAATAAAGAGAAATTACAGTGCCTTAGAAATCCACTAAGTGTATCACCTGCTAAAAAGAATGTCAATAATTGAACAGTATAGAAATGTAATGATTAATAAATAAACTTAATTAATAAAATAAAATATTAGTCCAGGGTGGGGGGGGAGTTAGCTGGACAAATTCTTGCTGGTTTTTATTAGATATGACTGATAATTTTCTTTCAGTTTGTTTTTTTAACAACAAGAACTTACTAACAGTTGCAAAGTTCTTCATATTTCAGTTGGAAATAACTTAAGCTTAAAAACATTTGAATGTAGGAGAAACCAAATCTAACAGATGTATCCATCCAGGTCTAGGATTTGAGTGCTTACCTCTTAAAAGTTTTGGTTTCTTTCCTTGTGTGCTCAACCCTGTTAATGTTAAGGCTATCACCTCTTTTTTCCGACAGGCTTCATTAATAGCTACATTGCAGGAAGGTGCAGCATGGCCCTCCTCATACTAGAAATAGTATAGTTGTACCTATTGAATCTGACCAAACAAGATTACCAAATCTTAGAAATTTTTCCATATTCTAGATTGAAGGAACGTGAGATTTTTTTAAAAAAATCGAATGTAAGAAAAAGCAAAACTGACCAAACTGATTTGGTCCACCCCAAGTGTCCACTTATCATCAAATTGTTACCGGTATGTTACATCTTTTATCGGCTGTTCTAGTGTTTTCTCTGATACTGAAGTCAGGCTGTAGTTTCCTGTTTTTGACAATTGGAACAACATTTTCCTGTCTGTAGTCCTGTTGCACCTTACCTGACCACCATGATTTCTCAAACAAGGCAGAGGTTCTGAGAGTATATCAGCAAATACTTTTACTACTACAGATTGGACTGCAAATACCATTACTAATATTTGTTGTACAGCAGTAATCTTATTTAATAATATTCCTTAATATGTTCAAGAAATGCAGCATTTTTAAACAACGTGCATTTTGTTTCATTTGTTTCATTTAGGAACTTCCATCACCTTTGTGGAATACTTCTGTCAATGAAATGGAAGAAGAAACAGCTATTGTGTCCAAGCATGATTCTCAGGAATCCATGAGAATAGCCTGGCGTTACCAGAACATACCAAAATTGGAGGTAAACTGTATTTCATAATAGTTAGTACATCAACCCGTATGTTTGCCTTGTACTACACATTCAGGTATGGAAGAATGCTTAACTTTTCTACCATGTTTCAGTTGTAAGCTGCAAATGTCCCTCTGTGGGGTTTTTCCATTTGTAGTAAAATGGCCTGGAGAGGACTTTCAGAGGAGAATTGGCATCTATAGAATCAAAGACAGAGAGTACAAGTTGAGAATGAGTAATCATTGACTTGTGCATTGTTGTTGAGTCATGGGCTTTCATTACATGTGAACTCTGCACAATGATTTAGCTGTGTTACAAACAATGAACAACCCAGGGAGTAAACCCATGCTTTTTTGCTGAATTGTGAACTCTGGCTTGTTTAACCATTGTTATACCATAGTGTAGGGCTCACATGTAATGTCAAGCCACAATTCAGTGACAATCCTTAAACTGGATGATTGTTATGTGTGTATAAGGCCCTAGTTTACCTCACAAATATTCCCCACCCCTACATTCATTTTTCATTAGCTAGACAGCTAATGTGTTGTTCCACCTTAAAGGGGTTAAACTGTAATAAGAATGGTAAAGTATTAAAATAAAAGCACTTCAACATTGAAGCTATAAAATTTGCTGCACAGGATTTCAAGAGGCATCCATTCTATTTATACCAAATAGCTTTCTAAATTTATCTGAACATAGATGTGTTTATATAGGTTGAATGAATAGTACTTAGTAGATCCCTCTAGTGAAAGCATGGAATTGAATCAAGCTGTTGACTTGCTTATCCATGTGCGTAATAAGTAAAATAAGCACTTGAGATTATATCAGCTTCACTGTCACTATAAACTAATCGTTATGAAAGAAACTTGTAAGAAACAAGCCCAGTGGTCAATTCTACTGTGTTTATGGTTGTTAGTGTTTTATTAATTATATTTCTCCTTAGGCTAGCTATTTTCTTGCCTTCAATAAAGGTATGGTAAAAATCCAAAATAAAATGGAATATTTTGCTGTACGTAATCCTAGAAAGTAGTTGTTTTCTTTGTTTGGCTTCAGTATTTTATATATTTCAGTTTTTTAAATACAGTCAACTGCCTAGTCAGTTCAGCCATATTTTAAAGTATATAATTGGAATATGACAAAATGATTTTACAAGGCTTGGCATGTTTGGTTTTCAGTGTAATTGCACAGACATAGCTATGTACTTGTATCAGTGATAAGATTTATATATGGTGACATGCCAAATCAGACACCCTCTAGGATAACCATATAACCTCATCAATTTTATTAATATGAATCTTGATATGCCATGCTGAACTATTACAAAATATTCTGTATAAGTTATAGAAAAATATCAAATCCATACCTAGAGATAGGGGAGAAACATTAGCATTGTAACAGAAAACTGCCATTTTTATAAAGTACAATTAAGCTTCCCAGTCTGGCTCATTAATACACCATGTTCAAATGTAAAGTGTATTAGAGCTTATAGAAAGCATTGTGAAAATTGTTGTAAGATGCTGTTCAACTGAAAGCAGTAATTGAAAATCAAAAGCTCTGTTCACTGTGGCCAGACTCTGAGGTTAGCAGTGGGAACTACAAATAAAAACATTTCACGTATTATCATTGTAGATCCTAGCATAAATGTTCTCTCATAGCATTTGCTCTAGAGCAGATCCCCTGATAGTTTCCCAATGCACAGATAATCCTGATGTTAACTATGCTCCTTGCCTGGAAAGCTAAATACCAAGTTAATTGCCACTCTACCATGACATTCTTGCCTCTTAGGGTACCTTCTAACTAAAGATTAGCATAGTAAACTGGTCTGGATCAAGTTGGTTTGTGGGAATGGTGTGCCTTTTGATCCAGTGAACAAGAAGCTGACTCCTACCACAGATTGTATGTTTGAAGCTATTCTTCCTACTACTAGTAGTGAGAAAACTGCCTTTGGCAGTTTTCCAACAACCCTGGCATGGTGGTGGCCCTCCTGACAGTGTTGCTATTTAGTTTTGGGGTTCAGCAGAGGACCACTAACCCACCACCACAGCCTGCTCAAACTACCAACATATCAGGGTTAGGCTTATACTCTTCCTCATTTTTTGTCTGGATCTAAGAACTTTTGAATCATCTCTATGGCACATTTAGAAGTACACATCACACTGGAAAATATTTGAAATGCTTCAGTTATCTTTAATTGCCTTCAGGACACTTTGCAAAACACTTACCAAATGCTACTTTGAGTGGGGGGAAAGAAATTTTCTAAAGCTGCAGTTCTGTATTAATATACCTTGGTTTATGTATAAGATTGCACTGTTCTTAAGGAGTTCTGTTTCCAAACATGGATTGGGAGGTGAGGATCCAACATACAAGAAAATTAGATACATGGTTTCTAAATTATTGGTAAAGGTAAATAGCAACACTGGTAAATATTAATTAGTAATAGCTGTGCTTAATAGACTAGATTCACCAGAAAAGACAATGATGGTGGGGAAAGTTGAAGGCAGAAGAAGAAGAGGAAGACAAAGTCTGAGATGGATTGATTCCATACGGAAAACCACAGCCTTGAGATTTCAAGTGCTAAGCAGGGCTGTCAAGGACATGATATTGTGTAGGGCATTCATTCATAAGGTCATCACAAGTCAGAGATGACTTGACAACACATAACATTTTCAAAATAAAATTGGCTTTTATAATTTCCCTGCAAATGAATTTTGTTCCTATCCATATGATTTCCTTTGTAGAAAGCTACTGGTGGGAAAATGTGGGAAATCCACAGCAATTTTATTCCCTTCCATTGCCATGGAATATTTAAAAGCATGAGTGGGACATCTGGATTGAAATTTGACAACTTTAATGTCATAGATTCACAGTTTGGCTACAAATTCCAGACGCTTCAGCAGTGGTTAAGTTACTTTTCTGTATTTGGCAAACCATTCGAAATTAAAACAGAAAACAGTAGATATTTCTTAGTTTACAGCAAGCAGGTATAAGCATGCGTGGTTTTCATTTACCTCTCACTCATATACTCCCCCTTTTAATGAATGAGCTGCTTGTGTTCTTAGGGCAATATATAAACTGTCACAGCATGAAATCAATTTTCTGCTTTGATTCATCCTAAATCTGAGAATTTCTAACACGTTAGTATTGCAATTAGAAACGTTAACAGCAGACGGTAGCATAAAGGCACACTCTGCTCCGTGACAGTTTAGTTTATTTCTCCTTGTGCAGGCTAGCTCATGGAACCCAAGGAAAGGGTAGGTTTGAAACCACATTCTACTAATAAATTTATCATCTCATACTTAAGAGAAATATGTTTTTCCTCCCTTTTGCTCTGTCTCTGTGGTCATGCTGCTGCTAAGACAGATTATTCATGCTTACTTGATTCAGGTGGGCTTTTTGCAAGCTTCCCCACTAGGCCTGGGAATGTGGTACATTGAGGTCTATTCATAGGCTTCTGACATAGCCAGGCTTTTATTGCCTGGTGTTTTATTGCTGCCAAATCCTAGTCTCCACCCAGTTTGTAGGCACTGTGCTCATTCTTTAGAATCAGGAAGGGTTATCACCTACCTTAATCCATGCAACTGTGTGGATTAGGGACACCAATGTTCCCCAGGATTCTCAAAGAGGATCCTGGAAACTTCTTGTTTCTTCTCTTTTGCTGTCTTTACTAAACTCTCTTGGGCCTCAGTGAGGATTTGCATCTGAAATGGGCAACCTGGAGCTTTTCTCAATGAAGACATCAGATCAAAGTTCAGTTAGTCAAGGCCTTTCTAAAACATTAAGGGGGCTTGGATGTACACAATAAAAAGATGAGCTCTGGCAGAGATTGCAGTAAAAACATTCTGATCAGTAATCCGGATAAAGGATAGATTATAGGGCAAAGAACAGCCCTTGTTTAAATTGCTTTGAGAACCCCAAACTAAATTACTTGGAACTTCTGAATTAAATTTTAAACACAAATTTGATTTGATAGTAAAATTCTGTTCCACAGCATTTTACTGTGTAATCTATCAAAACTGCAGTAAAAGCATGGATTATGATTTTAAGTAATTGCCCATTACTTTGTGCTTTATGATATAAATAAACATATTTGGGAATCTTATTTTTATTAGCAGTTGAATTTGGTGTTGTTCTTCTTGTTTTGCATTTTCTGTTAACCTAACAATAGTTAGCTTCTTTATTAAAAGAGACTTTTTCTTTCTGTTAATGTTTACTGATTAGGAGATATAGTCCCTTGATTAAACTAAGAATTTATAACACTATATAAACAACACTTGGTATTCAGTATGAACAGTCTTTATGTATGGATGACCACCCACAAATCTAACCAACTTTCTGTAACATTGGCAGATGTCTGTGAATTTAGTTATCTGCCAAGCTGAGTAACATTAAACAGTATTTTTTTAATTATTTGGATTTCTAATTTAGGGATAGGTACATGTCTCTCTCTTGCACATTAAAATAATAAACATTTCAATTATCCTGGTACAACACCAAACTTTGTTTCACAGCATAATCATATGGATGGCAACTCAGAGTTAAGACCTGATGAGTTCAGTAGGACTCACTCCCAGGTATGTGTATGAAGGATTACAGTTCTAGTACCGTGCAGCTCCCATTACTTTCACTGAGTTTCGAACAAGTACAATTTACAGTTTCATTAGCTCTACTGGAAGACCAGTTAAATTGAGTTCTTTTTCTCCACAGACTGTTTCCAGCCGGTCATTATGAGAACTACTGCTTAATTGCGACAATGGTGATTGGGGTATTCAGGAACTTTCTGTATTTCCATTGCCATGGAAGTTTACTGCCTAGTGAGATTTAGTCTTTTTGGGACTTGGGGCCTCTGCAAGGGCAAGAGACTGATTAAGATGGTTTGCCCCAGGAGGCTGAAGGATCTGAATGATTTTCTGATGGTTCTTGGGAATTTTTCTGTCACCCTTGCAGGCAAATCTGTTGAAGCCTGGATAAATAACATGGGTATTGACAGGATTGTTGTTAAGCTTCCTTCCCCT